CTATTCAGCAGAGACAGAAACCACACATCAACTGCCTGTAAAAGACGAACATGGCCAGCAAATACAAGCGACTCGGCAAGTACATTTAAAAAGAGCAATCTATAATATTATTGTTAATTAAACAGTAATAGAACTCAACACTCACTTTATCGTTCTCAGGTTTTATCTTTATTTGATCTATTCCTCTCACTGGTTTCCTTTGTTTTTACAATAGCTGACGTTTTTGTGTAGTTGCTATTGTAAAGCAGATTGTACAATATGATCTTAATACATGAGCACAATGACCGACGTAAACATTAATCGACCAATGGTTAAAAAAAGCAGCAAACTGCTACAAACTGCTGATGGCAGCAGTTTGTAGATGACACGAGAAGTAAACACGATTTTAACACTTTTGACAGAAAAACAAAGGGCAGGTTTCGGTGGCTTCTTCTGTTTTCTTGTTTGTGGCTTTTGTTTCATTGATTGACATGTAGAGAGAGGAAGTACAGTGCAGGTGTAACCGGTTTCTGCTTCATCCCGCTGCAACAGTTCGGCCCAAACACACTCCTCGACTCTGCGTTGTGTAGTGTTTTTAAAAAGACAAGGAGTCTCTGATCGATCTTTGCCACTTTATTTCCTGAATGGAAACAACGGTGTATTATCAGTGCACAGGCTCGCCATACACCACTCCGTACAGCACACTACGGCAGAACATCTCATTAGCATTCCGCTTTAGCATACAGTTTCACACATTAATAAACAAATGAAAAGTACATAAAACTGGTGTTAGACATGTGTCCACTAAGCACTTATTACACTCGGTGCTCGTCAGCTAATCAAACATGTTTTATGTGTCTGTACTACTTAGCTATATTGTGTGCGGAACAATACAACTCACCTCTCGTATGGCTACGGCAGACTGGCAGCGATTACTGCAGCCAGCCTCACCTAACCAGCCACACCGAGAGGGGGGGCGCTGTTTCCCCATTACACTGATATTTGTGGCAAGTGGAATAATACCACATAAACACTGTTACACAGGAAACATCTGTAGCTTCTCTTATCATCAGCAGATTAATGCTTAAACGATCAGATCGACTTTTCTGGCAAGGAAACATGGTGTTTTTTTAGTGACAGATGTAGCCGTTTCATTTACTGAATCAATTCGTTGTACAATAAATTACGTATATTTAATGAGGTCATAGAAAACGTTTACCTTGATACTGTAAGTAATGTAAAACAAAAAGATGTCCACACGAGCCTCGCTCTTCTTCAACCACTCTTTGCCTTTTTCATCTTATCTCTCATAGCACATGATCAAAAATGGATCGACAACCATTTTAAGGTCTAACTAGACATTGGCTGTATAAAGGCCGCATTTTAAGGCCGATTACGTCACCGCGACGCGACGAAGGCTGTCGAAATGCGGCCCTCAAATGCGTCCTTCATTTCCCTGAATTTTAAGGACGTGGCGGTGTAGACTTCGTGGCCCAACATATCCCAGAATGCATAGCGCGGCGGTGGGTGTGGATAATTTTGCCGAAAAAAACTGCG